ATCCCTCGACGGGCATTCAATTGAAAGAGTCAATAGTTACAAATGCCTAGGTGTTCAGGTTGATGAAACACTCTCGTGGGAGGCTCACACCTCCGAAGTCATCGGTAAAGTTGCAAAAGTTCTAGCTGCCCTGAGGAGGTTAAGCCCAATATGTCCCCAGAGTACCCTTGTCACTATTTACAAGTCATTGATTCTTCCGCATCTCTATTATTGCAGCGCTGTCTGGGGCTGTATCGGTAATGGTCTCAGCCAAAAACTAGAGAAACTACAAAACAGGGTTTTATCACAGGGTTTAGCTGGGATGCCAGCTCTGCCCAGATTCTTCATGCCCTTAAATGGGATAGCCTCGCTGACAGACGTACTAAGCAACTGAAATCTTTAATGTTTAAAACTGTAAATAACCTTGTACCCGAATACCTGTCTGATAAATTCGCCAGCATTAATACCATTCACAGGCATAATCTTCGAGGTGCGCAACATAACCTGTTTATTCCACGACCGAACACTGAGGCCCTAAAGAAAAGTTTTCATTATAGGGGCGCAGTAACATAGAACAGCCTGTCAGCTGAGGCTAAGCAGGCCACTACTTTAAATTGTTTTTATTCTGCTATTGTACATTAAGATTTTCTTAGTAGGCATTTATTATAGGATTTTTTCAATAGTGTTTGTTATTTTTAAGTCTTAGTTTAATGTGCACGGCTCTTTAGAAGACCACTTTTTAGTGATAAGGATTCCGTGGTTAAATAAAGTTATTACTTACTTACTTACTAGCAAGTCTGTTCTATTAAGTCGAAAAGTAGAAACTTAGCTTACCTTAATCAAACTATCCTGGCTTCAAGAAGGACCTATGGCAGAATCTCTAATGTCTTCTTGTTGTTAGACTGCAAAACAGTCGGTTTTTTCTCAAAATCAGTAAAGAAATCGGTAAAGCGTGGCGTAAGAGTCTTACGCCCTACTGGCGTGTGAGGCGAGAGGAATTTTTTTATTTTTTATTTTTTTAGCGTCTCTCCCCAGTCTCGCTCTCTGTTTTCAGCTTCGTTCCAGACCTTTTGTTTGACTGCTCGCGCGTACTTGAATACGCAAAAATACGGACTTTTTTGCAGTCTATCTTGTTGTGCATGGCCAAGAGGTTACCGGGCCCTGGACTTAAATCTGGACCTCTGTTCCTTGGTGGAGTCCGTTGCGGTTATAATTTAGCCTGCGTAGCGGGCGTTTGAAAGAAGGGCACAAGAGATAACGGGGCATACGTGGGAGACACGCCAGGGGAGAAGGAACGGAAAAAAGTGATTTTGAAGCCTCTTGGGAAGGCGCTACCTCTCCCCTCGCGTGTCTCTCCCGCGTGCCCCGTTCTTTCTTGCTCCATATTTTCAAGCACCTGGCGCCGGTTTAAACGTTAGATAGCGCAATCCACCGGATAAATCACTATCCAGCGGATAAGTATCAGGGAAACCAATTGCGTTATCCACTAGATAGATCTTTATTCGGTAGATAGCGCTATCCAACGTTTGAAAAACCGGGGCCTGCTTAGACTGCGAGCAGTCTCTCTTTTTCTTCAGATTTAATGAGAGCAATGCACGCGCGCGGGAGCGGCGAAGCCGCGAGACGCGCGAAACGAGGGCGCCATCAGTCACGCGCGTAGCCATTTGCGTGTTTAGCGTTTTGCTCGACGGACTGCAGAAAAAAGAGAGACTGCTCGTAGTCTAGGGCCTGCTACGCAAGCTTATCATTATTCTTCGGTCAGGCTTAAAGAAAAACAGCTTTCGTTCCATTTGAAATAATTATTTGTTTCCAGTGTTGTGTTTTATGATCCTTGTACAAGCCCCTCTAGACTGTTCAGAGTCCTCTATTTTTCCGCAAGATCATCGAGATCGAGAGCTTTGCGTTACGGGCTACCCATCTCTCCGACGCCCGCTCCCTCGGTACATTTGAAAATCAAGATAGCCGTGACAGTAAGACGCGGTATATCTAAACGATCTCAAGAAAAAATAGGGAACTGTGAACAGTCTAAAGCCCCTCGGTGGGTTGAAAAGATAATTCATTTATCATATATTTATTTTCTTGCAAATTTATTAGTGGATGGTTCTTGATTACAAACGATTCACACCTGGAGAGAACATCAAGCCTGGAACACTGTGGATCCTGGAACAGCTACCTGGGATAATAGAATCAGCCGACATGTCTGCTTTCTTACAAGAGAGCACCTACTGGGCCAGTTACAACATAGCGTAAGTGCAAACGACAGATTTATACCATTTTTATCATAGTTACATTGTATTATTCACACGCACCTAATTCGCACAATTACAAATTAATTAACCATAATTAGCCCCTGCTAATAGGAGCGGGTAGTGCGATTAAATTTAGACTGATAAATTACATTAATTTTTAGTATTTAACAAAATAAACAATATAGTGAAAAGACCTTTCCAGTATTCCAGCCCGTATTCCACTCCAGTGATGACACACAATGAAACCAGGTCAAAGCTTGTCAAATTCACACTCTGTATAAATCACTGAATTTTGTGAACTCGAGTCTCTAGTTGGTTACACTGGTTAAAGGCGAATCCGCGAATCACCTTAAGGACATGACCGAAACCTGTAACCTCGCATGAAAAGTCTCAGGGACCCAGCGTATAAGTTGGTGCCTTTGTTTACCGAAATCCAGTAAAAGGTCTATTACAGACGGCAAGTAGTGTTGAAAGAATTAATTCCTGAAGATTATGCCAGCGACTGAGACTGGTAATCGCCTCAAAGATCGTCTTAAGATAAAAGCTTTAAATTCTGATGACCCTTGAGGGCAAAGATTTTTGAACGCATAATTTATGACCAGCTGTATAAATACTTGAAAGCTGGTAAACTACTGTCAAATCACCAATCCGGCTTTCGTACTATACTCACTCTACCGTTACTGCCTTACTTGAAGCAAATGGTAGTTGGTCATTGGATAGTGACCACGGCAACATTAATGCCGTTGTCTTTCGGGACCTCAGAAAGGCTTATGAACATACCTTACCGCTATCTTAACTTGACTGCTACGGTATAACCGGCCACGAAAGAGACTGATTCAGGTTATAACTTAGTGGTCGTTCACAATTCTGTGCAGTAAACAGCTGTGAGTCGGATAAGACAGTTGTCACGAGTGGTGTGCTTAATTATGATCTGGACGGGGTCTATGTTTGGCCTGTAGCTAATCAGATATGCTCACGCTAAACATGAAAAAAACTGAGTTTCTCCTCACTGGCTGAAGACAAAGACTGTCTAACGTATATATTGTCGTCAATGAAGCTCCAGTTAAACAGGTTTTGGTTCCAAATTCCCTTTGTGTAAACTGAATCAGGATGAACATATTCAGATGATTTGTAAAAAAGGTTGCTTCTGTCATTACTGCAGTTAAGCGCGTCAGAAACTTTGTCCCTCGTGAAACCTTCCTCACTATTTTTTGCGCTCTTTTACAGCCTCGCTTCAAATACTGCAGCACGGTTTGAGCAAATTGTAATAAGAGCCTCCAGAAACTACAGAACCGTGCTGCTCGTATAATTACTTCTTTTAATTACGGCGCTAGTCTGGATGAGCTTCCTTCAGTTACTCAATTGACATAAATTTGAGCTGCAACGTAAGGTCGATTTATCTATTCTTATTTATAAGGATCTTAATAATGAAACTCCTGAGTATCTGAGCTCGAAATTTATATTTTACGTATGGACTCAAGGCTATATAACTTAAGAGAAATACGGTGAAAAAGGACTGGCAGTGCCGCTTCCCTGTACTGAACACTTTAAAAAGAGCCTTCAGTTATAGTGGATCAGTATTGTGGAATAGTTTGCCGGATCATTTAAGGTGGGCATCGTCACTGACAAGTCTCAAATCAACTATTCGTTGCCACAATTTCCAAGAGTAAGGTTGTTTTTTATACGGCGTCCTTGTAAAGCAGGAAGTTTTCCCTCTTTAACGCTTAATGTTAGTTTAATTTAATTAGATCCATTCTTATATTCTATCGTATAATATCATTCGTTGCTAGTTTTTTTTTTGTTTGTTTCTTTTTTCATTCCTAGTAACTGCCTAAAGGACTTAACCGTTTCTAAATGAAGTTATCTTGTCTTATCCTATAATCAAATGGGTGAACGTGTAAATGAAAACATAAGGTAAATATATTTAGATAAAATGAAATTTGCTTAACTTTGTTTTTTCTTTCAGGTATTTTCCGTACATTTACAACATTAGTGGCACCATGGCGAGTTACAAGAAGTTTGGTGCATTTTTTAGTTATGCGGACTGTCCTCGGGGACAGATCTTCAAACGTGATCACAGCAAAGTTGTTGACATGGAGACTATGATGAAACTCATGAGGCATGGAATAGTTTATTTCCGGTTACATGGTTCACTCTGTAACGACGGGAAAGCGTTTTCCTAGTTTATCTTGGTGGGAATTTTTAGAATTTTCAGCGAGAATGTCGTAGTGGCGGAAACAAGATATAAAATGTTAGAAGGTTTAAAATTTGCGATCGGGAGAGGGCGTAACCTCCTTCAATAAAGATAACAGTGCTAAGCTTTCTGATGAAAAAAGTGCAGGAAAGCTTTCCGGGATGTCTATTTGTTTTGCGAATTCGCGAAAAAAATCTCGCCCTCGTAGTCTTTCTCGTCTTTGAATCTAAAGGTCTCTATTCTCGCTAAAACCCGTTAGAGAAAGACTGTGGCTATCACGTTTTCCCACCAAAATGACGCTCATTCACGCGCGCGCACTACTTATTATTGAGAAAATCTCGTTCGC